CTTCACCCTTTGTGCCCACCCCCCACCCCACCTTTCCCCTGGTATCCACTAAACTGTTCTTAGTCCATAATTTTAAATTCCTCATATGAGTGGAGTCATACACAGATTATCCTTCTCTCGCTGGCTTATTTCACTTAACATAATTCTCTCAAGGTCCATCCATGTTATTGCAAATGGAATGATTTTGTTCTGTTTTGCAGCTGAGTAGTATTCCATTGTATATATATACCACAACTTCTTTATCCATTTGTCTGTTGCTGGACACTTAGGTTGCTTCCACGTCTTGGCTATTGTAAACAGTGCTGCAATAAACATTGGGGTGCATAGGACTTTTGGGATTGCTGACTTCAGGCTCTTTGGATAAATACCCAGTAGTGGGATGGCTGGATCGTATGGTAGTTCTATTTTTAGCTTTTTGAGGAATCTCCATACTGTTTTCCATAGTGGCTGCACCACTTTGCATTCCCACCAGCAGTGTATGAGGGTTCCTTCTTCTCCGCAACCTCTCCAACATTTGTTGCTATTAGTTTTAGATATTTTTGTCATTCTAACGGGTGTAAGGTGATATCTTAGTGTAGTTTTGATTTGCATTTCCCTGATGATCAGCGATGATGAGCATCTTTTCATGTGCCTAATGGCCATCAGTATATCTTCTTTGGAGAAATGTCTGTTCATGTCTCCAGCCCATTTTTTGATTGGGTTGTTTGATGTTTTGTTGTTGAGTTGCGAGCTTGACTTAATCTTATACTGCTTCATGTATAATGTAAGATCCTTATCAAAGAGTACAGTTCAGTTTCCTCCCTTCTCGTCCTTGTGCTGCTGTTGCCATGTTTTTCATTTACATTAGAGACTGCACGGTACATTGCTATTTCTGCTTTAAACAGTCGCTTGTCTGGTAAGCAATTAAGGTGAGAAAAGAATAGTCTGTGCTATTTAGTGACACATCTGTCACTTCCACTGCTCTTCATTCCTTCCTGTAGATTTGATTTTCATCTAGTATCATTTTCCTTCAGGCTAAAGAATGTCTTCATTTCTTGTCGTGCAGAAGATCTGCTCCAGATGAATTTCCTCAAATTTTGTTAGCCTGAAAGTATCTCTACTTTACTTCATTGCTGGAGATATTTTCATTAGATATAGAAGGTGAAGTTACCAGATTTTGCTTTTCTTTCAGCACTTTTAAAAGACATAATTCTATTGTCTTATGGCCTCTATTATTTCTGATAAGAAGTCAGTCATCATGTTTCATTGTTGTTTACTCTATGTAACGTGTCTTTTTTTCTTTGGGTGCTTTAAATAATTTTCTGTCTTTGCTGGTCAGCAGTTTGACTATGACGTGCCTAAGGGGTGTATGTGTGATGTTAGTTGGGGTTGGCTGAGCTTCTTGTTTTTGATCAAATTTTGGAAATTGTCTTCAATTGTTTTTCTGACATATTCTCTCTCTTCTTTCCTCTGGGACTCCAAATACATACATATTAGTCTAATTTCTTGATATTGTCCCACAGGTCATTGAAGCTCTCATCATATTTTTTCCAATCTTTTTTCTCTCTGTGCTTCATTTTGGGTAATTTCTATTGACCTCTCTCCAGGTTCATAAATCTTTTCCTTTGCTGTATCTAATCTGTTTTTCTTATTCAATGATTATTTAAAAATTTTCAGATGCTGTACTGTCTCAATACTAAGATTTCCATTGGGTTCATTTTTAGAGTTTCCATGCCTCTTCTAAAATTAAATTCCCCACGTCTTCACCCATTATATCCATTTTTTCCCCATAAATTCCTTAACATATTTTTAATAAATCCTTGTTTGGTAATTCCAACATCTGGGCTGTCTCTGAGTCTGCTTCTGTTTTTTTCTTTTGATAAGTGTCATGTTTTTCTGCTTCTTCACATATCTAGGGTTATTTCACTGTATACCAGATACTGTAGATGGTAGCTGTGGAAACTCTAGATTTTCTTATCTTCCTTTGAAGAGTGTTGAATTTTGTTCTGGCATTCAGTTAAATTACCGGCACATCACCTTGATCCTGGGGAGGCTTGGTTTTAGGCTCTGTTAGAGGAGGCCTAGTTCAGTTTAGCCCTTTGTTCTGGGAAATGGTCTTTACCCCTAAGGTGTGGCCCTCTGGAGTTATGGAAAGCTCAACATATTTCACATGCCCTCCTAACTTGCTGGGCCTTGAGCTCTTTTTTTTTTTTTGAGGTAACACTGGTTTTATAACAGTATATAGATTTCAGGTGTACATCATTATAATTTGAGTTCTGTATACACTACATCGTCTTCACTACCAAAAGTCTCTCAATCTGTCTCCCATTACTGGGAAATTGCTAAAATCTCTGTTTAGCTCTTCAGGCCTTCAATTCTTGGCTCCTTGGCATCACTCCACACACATGCACTTTAGGACTCAAAACAAGCATCCAAGGGGAGTCTGTAGGCCAGCATGGTGGCTCCTCTTTTGTGGCTCCCTCTTTACATGTTTTCCCTCCTCAATTTCTAGCCACTGTGGCAGCTATACACTCTGACCTCTAACTTGTCAGCCTAATAAACCTCTTGCTTTCTCCTCGAGCTCTACTCCCTGTACTCAGTGTGGACTTGAAAACGCCCTGAGAGGAAAAGCCAGTTACACGTGGCTCTCACCTAGTTTGCTTTTCTTCTTTTGAAGGTTATTTCCACAGTGATTGCCTGTTTAGGTTGCTCTCCAGTGCCATCAAACAATTTTTAAAAAATATTTTTTCCAGAATTTACACTAGCTATCAGCAGGAATGTTAGTCTGATACAAGCTGCTCTGCCATTATTGTAAGCAGAACTCACCCAAATATGGTATTTTTTCAAATTTTGTTTTGATGCCCTGCATTTCTGAATCACTAGGCATATATACTTGGTCTTCATATTGGGTAAACCAATGCTGGCGTTCGGTTGTCTGTTCTGAGGATTTACTTCATTTAATTTAAATTTCACTAAGTAATCCAGTAAATTAGTTATTCTTAATGGTTATCCAAGTTTCAGAGGCTGAAAATAGGTCTCTAATAGTGACAACATCTTGAGTGTTGTTAAAATTTAAAATAAACTTTCATCTATTTCCTGAAATAGATAATACCTTCACATGGTTCAAAATTTAAAAGGTAAAAAGGATACACAATAAAAAGTTTCACTCCCACCCCTCCTGCAAGTGTTTTTTAAAAATTGGCAGCTACATTTTTGATCTCATGCGTTATACAAGCAAATTGGTTGTATCCTGTCTGTCATAATCCCATGAATTCCTTGACAAAGAGTTTTTTTAAAAAAAATAAATGACATCCTCCAGCAGAAATCATTACAAAGGAAGGCATCAATTCCATTTAATTCTGGAAACATTTACTGAGCCGTACGGTGTGCCTAGAACAATGTTAGCTATTGTGGAGGAGAAACATGAGTCATATGGTTGAAAGTACACTTCTCTTAATTAGAAAGGAGAAGAGAGTAGAATGAAGGACTATTTGTAAGGAAATCTGATGCCTTCTACTTGACCCAGTTGGAGAGTTGATAGAAAAAGGTTCCGCCTCTGTCGAGCTGACACCTGGAGTTAAGGTTATATTCTTGGCCCTGTCTCTCTCATAGGGTCTCTCTCCAGCCCAGCAGCCGCCCTGCTTACAGCCAAGCTCAGCACAAGGTCTAAGAACCTTGCTGGAAGCTTTGTGTCTAGTTTATGGTTCTTAGGGAGAAGGAAAAGCTAAGTCACGCCTCTGCAACGTCAGGATGTTGAACTAGCTACAGTTTACAACTAAAGCACTGCTCAAAGGGCTGCGTGTTCTCCGGCCAAGTCCGAAACGGCTGAATCCCCTTCCCAGCAGCTGACAAAACATGGAGCGTCCACAACAGCCGTAATGAAAAGACTGGAAGCTGAGCAAACTTACCAGTGCTACACGCTCCCCTTGTGGCCACACCTTCAGGTTCCCACAAGGGCTTAGACAAGCAAGGCGGGGTAACGTGTACTCGGTGGGAGGGACTGAATAGCAGGCCAGGGGTGTTTGCTAGGAATTTGGGAATACGAGGAGCGGCAGACATTATATCAGTGGTCAGGTCTACATCCGGGTACCTTTGTTCCTCGGCAGGGATTTCAGATCGAGCACACTCCGCCTGCGAGCTGCTCCTAGCCAGAAAATAAAACTTGTACCTTTTCCCATCGGAACTCAAGATGGGTTTGGGGACCTCTGGCTACCACAGGGAAGCAGGCCGTGCCATCTTGCCTTGCTGCAGGTGGCAAGCCTACTGGAGGACCGTTGAAGTCTTTATCTGATCCTCCATCCAGATGCTCAGAATAAAGTTAATTTATAGGCATCATTCTTTCCCGTGATGATGTAAAAAAGTCTCTAGAGAGCAAGGGCTGGTGAACAGAAATTAACCGCACAGTGTCTACAATTATTCTTTTGAGATGTGTAAGAAGGTCATTGATAGTTTATTTAGTATGCTGTCTTTATGGCTTAATTTTAGTGACTGTTAGGGAAGAAAATTGACAGGCTTTTCTTTCATCCCCAACCTCCTGTCCCTTAATTCTCCTCCTTCATGAGGCGTAATTTACTCAATGGGGGTCTTCAGGAATTGAATTCTTATGGTGGGAGGGACTCGAGCAGCATCGATAGAAATACAATGTCAGCCACATATGTTTAGGTTTTCTAAGTAGCCCCATTAAAAAAGGTAAAAAGAAACAAGTGACATTAATTTTAATATTTTAGTTAACCCAATATATATAAAACATCATTTCAACGTGTAGTCAATATAAAAAGTATTGATGAGACAATTTACCCTTTTTTTGGTACTAAGTCTTTGAGCTCTGGTGTGTATTTTACACTTACAGCACATCTCAATTCAGGCTAGCCACATTTCAAACGCTCAGTAGCTGCATGTGGCCAGTGGCTACGGTACTGAACAGGGCAGGACCAGCGCACAGGCCACAGAGATGCCCTCCAGGTCCCCCCACACATGCAGGCGGTGCACCCTCTAGGCTGCATGCTAGGACAGCGGAAGTGATGATCCAGGCAGGAGCAACGGGTTTAGAATGGGGTCAGATGCCCGGATTCCAGATGGGTTTTGCCGATGAAGAGAACTGGAAAGCAGAGGGGAGGGCGCCGTGGTTGGGAAAGCTGGGTAAGGTCTGGGAGGCGGGAAGAGGCCATCTCGAGGACGAGGCTATGCAGGACGTCTGAGAACTTGGTGGAGGGCCGCATCCTGCCACGTGGACAGGTGGGATTCTACCCAGGACAACCCTTTGGCTGACAGTGGCTCCTTTTTTGTCTTTCCTGCCCCCTCCGCGCCCCCCCCCCCCCCCCCCCCCCCCCCCCCCTCCCCCCCCCCCCCCCCAGCGGTGGTCCTCGGCCTGCGCAGCGCCCGGGCGGAGGAGGCCTGCACGGGCACCTGCCCCACCGCCTGCGCCTGCAGCAGCGCCGAGCGCGGCTGCTCGGTGCGCTGCGACCGCGCGGGCCTCCTGCGGGTGCCGGCCGAGTTCCCGTGCGAGGCGGCCTCCATCGACCTGGACCGCAACGGCCTGCGCTTCCTGGGCGAGCGGGCCTTCGGCACGCTGCCGTCGCTGCGCCGCCTGTCGCTGCGCCACAACAACCTGTCCTTCATCACGCCCGGCGCCTTCAAGGGCCTGCCGCGCCTGGCCGAGCTGCGCCTGGCGCACAACGGCGACCTGCGCTACCTGCACGCGCGCACCTTCGTGGCGCTCGGCCGCCTGCGCCGCCTCGACCTGGCCGCCTGCCGCCTCTTCAGCGTGCCGGAGCGCCTCCTGGCCGAGCTGCCCGGCCTGCGCGAGCTCGCCGCCTTCGACAACCTCTTCCGCCGCGTCCCCGGCGCGCTGCGCGGCCTGGCCAACCTGACGCATGCGCACCTGGAGCGCGGCCGCATCGAGGCCGTGGCCTCCAGCTCCCTGCAGGGCCTGCGGCGCCTGCGCTCGCTCAGCCTGCAGGCCAACCGCGTGCGCGCCGTGCACGGCGGCGCCTTCCGCGACTGTGGCGCCCTGGAGCACCTGCTGCTCAACGACAACCGGCTGGCCGTGCTGCCGGCTGACGCCTTCCGCGGCCTGCGGCGTCTGCGCGTTCTCAACCTGGGCGGCAACGCGCTGGGCCAGGTGGCGCGCGCCTGGTTCGCCGACCTCGCGGAGCTTGAGCTGCTCTACCTGGACCGCAACAGCATCGCCTTCGTGGAGGAGGGCGCCTTCCAGAACCTCTCGGGCCTCCTCGCCCTGCACCTCAACGGCAACCGCCTCAACGCGCTCGCCTGGGCCGCCTTCCAGCCCGGCTTCTTCCTGGGCCGTCTCTTTCTCTTCCGCAACCCGTGGCGCTGTGACTGCCACCTACAGTGGCTGCGCGACTGGATGGAGAGCTCCGGGCACGTGGCCGACGTGCCGTGCGCCGCTCCGGGCTCCGTGGCTGGCCTGGACCTCAGCCAGGTGGCCTTTGGGCGCTCCTCCGATGGCCTCTGTGTGGACCCCGAGGAGCTGAACCTCACCACGTCCAGCCTAGGCCCGTCCCCAGAGCCAGCGGCCACCACCGTGAGCAGGTTCAGCAGCCTCCTCTCCAAGCTGCTGGCCCCGAGGGCCCCTGGGGCCGAGGCGGCCAACGCCACTCAGGGGCCAGGCAACGCCTCGCTGGCCGGCAGCCTTCCCTCCCGCGCGCTGGGAGGCTGGGCCCGCCAGACCCGGCTTCTCCTCGGCTCCAGTCTCCTCCTCAGCGTGGCCCGGCACGCGCTGTTTGCCCTCCAGGTGGACTGACCCTGCCCCAGTGAGGTGGCCCAAACGCCTTGGCCAGCAGGGCAGAGTTAACTGGGCTCGAGGGTGTTTGTGGTCGAGGAGAGGGGAACAGGATGGGGGCAGGTAGTGAAAATTCCAGCGGAGGGTGGAAGGGACAGTCTGCCTCCAGAGGTGGCCCTAGGAAGAGAAGAACCCTGGGTAATGCCACGAGAGGGAGGGGGAGGTTATGGATTTCTGCTCATGTCACAGGGACGTCAGTTGGGGAAGAGAAGCAAGAAGGAACAGGGGCCCTCTGGTGAGAAGGCTAGGCATTGGAAGCTTCTAGGGCTACGGGGCTCTACCCCCCACCCCCCAAGTCTTCCAGGAAACAGGGCCTGCAGTGCCTGAATGAGAGTCCATCGGTTGGCTAAGTCCTAAGAACTGTGCCCGTTCTCCTGGGGGGGCAACCCATTAAGCCCAATCCCTTTGTTTTCTACCACAATCCTCCTCCCCCTCCCCCGGGGGTCTGGGGACCCTCGGGTCCAGAAAAGATGGACAGGAAAGAAGGGGTATGGGAGAAGGACTTAGACCCAAGGGGGTGGCTGTGGTTCCTAGGGTCTGAGATGTGTTAGAAGGTATTTAAAACAAAGATCCATTTCATTTATTACACACTTATTCCTAGGGGTCGCCTTAGCTGCAAAGGACCTTTAGGGCAGGGTAGGGAAAAAAGGGGGGGAGGGGGTGTCTGTGGACAAGTAAATTTGTAAAATCCTAAGATTATGAAAAAAAAAAGAGGTTAAACAGCTTTCTCTACTGAGTCTTTCATATGCAAACAGGCATTGTGAGTCTTCCGGGGAGGCCACAAAATCCTCTTTTCTTAGCGTTTTGTGGGAAGAGTGTCCAGAAGACAGAGATGCCTGTGTTAGCAGGGCAGGGAGCCTCCAGCTTGGATGATCCCATTAGGTGGGGAAGTTATTATGGGCTGCACACTTTGGGGCTAACAGCCAAGAGGAAATGAGGCAGCCAGTAGCTGGTAGGGGGGCTGAGAGATTTCCCAGGGTGGGAGCTGGCCGACTGTAGGCCCCCAGGCCTGAGTGCCAGAGCGATGGCTGTATGTCTGCTGAATTACTTGCTCGAGCTGTTTTCCACACATACGTAATGATGATTACGTTTGTTAGCTTTCTGGAAATCCCTAATCTTAATGTCCTGAGTTCCTATCTCTGTATTTGAAGAGGTGGATTTTCAAAGCCCACGCAGATTCAGGGTGCACCGAACTCTCAGTTCTTCATGGTGACAGTGCTTCTTCTGTGTCTCTGCGTGATACTGAGTATTAGAAATGTTGCAGAAATCGCCACCAAGGGCAGGAGTGTTCACATGGGTTTTGACCATTAGTGGTCACCAACTCAATTTAACAAGTCGTGCCTGGCATTTTAGAAAACAAGATAGAACAGAAAAGTCACAGAGCATCACGTGTAATATTATAAGACTAAGTGTTGTTTTGTGAAACTTTAAAAAAAATTTGTATGCATTTGTTCAGATTGTATCTGTATGTGTGTACCGGGTTGCTGTGTACAATTTATATTTTATTGTGGGTTATGTGAAAAAAGTTTGAAAACCAATAATCTGGAGCATGGATGATTTTTTTTTAACTTTTTATTTTGAAAAATCTCAAAGCTCCAGAAAAGTTTCAAGAATAGTAGAGTGAACACTTTGGCCGTTCCCCTAGGTTTCCCAGTTGTTAACATTTTACTATATTTGCTTTCTCTCTCTCTCCGTATTATTATTTCTTACTAACAGTTTGAGTTAGTTGCAAACATCATGAGCCTTAACCCTGAAATACCTTAGCGTGTAGTTTGTAACGACATTCTCTGACATTCTCACAGTACCATTATCAAAATCAGCAACTTTTGATAGAATACTATTATTTAAAATATACTCTATATGGAAACTTCAACAGTTGTCAAAATGATTTCTTAAGCAGTCATTCTGTTTTCTATGGGTGGAAAATGAGGTTCTTAGGTCGTGACTTGTGTTCATTTGATGACGATGCTCGAAATCTCTCGATTGATTTTAATGTTTCAAAGTGAATTTGTTCTCCAAATGTCTCACTTTTCAAATGTGAGAACCAGATGAGGTCAGAAATGTTTGTTCAAACGTGTGTTGTGGCCATGGTAACTGGGCGAGGATCACGAGAATCCTGGAGACCAGATCTCCGCGTTTGGGTAACCATGGAAGTCCACGGCAGACACGCAGCCTGCGTTACTGAGGAACAAGATGCCGCCTTGGGAGGAATGTCCTTCCTTTCATTTGGAGCAGGTTCCTGAGAGTCAGCCTCAAAACGCTGCTCAGTTCTGCCTGGGTGGTTAGATGGCCAGCTTTTTAATGAACGTTTGTTTGGCTGAATGTTTTTGAACAAGTATCAACACTGAAATAGCCTCCGGGGAGGCAGATTTTTATAGAGCTCCCCAGCCCAGTAGAATTCTGGGAACGTGGGGAGTTACTGCCAAACAGATCCAGAATCGCCTGGAACGAGTTCCCAGTGAATTGTGGCCATTATGAGCTCTCATGAGAGAACAGGGTGTGGAGAGTTCCCAAGTTCTGAGTTCATTAAGTTTCTCACCCCCTCACTGGCTAATTAGTACCTTGGGAATCATTAAGGTGCTATGGATTCTGCTAAGCTCAAAACTATATGTTCCCGTCAGGATGGGCCATGTTATGCTGTGGTAACAAACAACCCCCAAACTTCAGTGGCTTACTGAGGGTTATTTCTTGCTTATGCTACCCGTCCAACGTGGGCTTATTAGGGAGGCTCTGCTCCTTGTTGCCGCTCAGGGACCCAGGCTGATGAAGGATCTGCCATTTTAGGACGTTGTTATTCAAACACAGGTTGTAGGGTTTGCCCAACAGAGGAGGAAAGCTTGGGAGAATCATGTATCACTCTTAAATGCTTCCACCCAGATGTGACAGATGTTGCTCCTTACACTTCGTTGGCCAGAAATATCACGCGGCCATTCTTGACTTCAACAAGTCAGAGAAGTATGGTCCTCCCACGTGTCCAGAAGGAGAGGAGAACTGGGACCCTTGAACACTAGCAATGCTCTAAAGCACTAGGGGCTGCAGGCAGCTCACCGGAGAGAATGAAGCCTGGACCTCTCAGAATGTTGGAAGAAACAGACGCTTGAGGGGGCGATCCGGTGAGCGAGCCACAGACCTTCTTTCCTCCCAGCTTGCCAACGAGGCTTTGAGCATAGTATTTGCTCTGGCCGTTAGGAATGCTGCGGCCTCATTGTGTTTGTTCTTTCAAGAAAGGGGAGAGAAAATGTAGAGACAAAAGGTTCATACTTTCCCCTTTAAAAAAATATTTTCCACACAAAGACTCCATGTACAGTATTCAAATGCCTGAAACTTGATCTTTGGAAAATTCCCTCTCAGAAAGCTCCCTGGCTGTTTCTAAGAGGTCCTTCTGTGGTAGTTTCACAAGGATGGTCAACAGCCCTCTGGTCTACCTACCTGTTTGTCAGGCCACCACAATGCTGCCCTCGAGGGGATGCTGTCTGCTGGGCACAGCTGTCCTTGAGTGTTGGTTCGCTCTGCCATCTTCACCTCGACTTCAAGTGGGGACCTTACTCTCCCGCTTGATCTTCTGGCCCAAGGATGGCTTAGCCTCCCCGCCCTCCCCACCCTCTGAATCCCTCCCAGCACAGGAGAGCACGCCAGCTGAGAAGTGGAGACTTTTCTGGGGGGTTGGGTATAAGGGAAGAGAAGTAAGTAGCCCATCTGACTACTGTTGGCTGTGGCTGTTGGCAAAACCCCCAGACCCCAACCCCCACCAAGGGCCCCTGCGGCTGGGCTGGCTTAACTCCCTCCCCCACCCACATGCGCCAGGAATGCCCAGGCCCCCCTGTGTTTCTGAGACCAAACTCCCAGGGAGGACTTTTTTCTTGCCCCCCAGTCTAAGGCCCACCTCCCCAGCCCCACACCAGAAACTCTACTCTCCCGACAGTGGCCAGTCCTGCCCTCGGCAGCGCTCCCCAGGAGATGTCACCCACAGTCTCACAGTGGGGTCCATCAGAGCCGAAGAGGCCAGTCAAGTCCAGATCCTCAGCCCAGCTGCCCGCCTGCCTGCCAGTCACTTCCTTCACCCCCACTCCATGTTGCCTGAAAACTGCTGCTCAGACCCTTGAAAGAACAAACAATAGTTCTGGGGACGCCAGTTAACCTAAAGTTGCACAGAGTAGAGTAACATTTCTCTCCATAAAGCTCCAACATCTGGGAGACTGGGAAACGGGGCTCTGATAAAAAGATGGAGCAATCTCCTCCTTTTTAAGTGTTGCATGTATGACCAATGTTTGTTTGTCTTGAAAGATAGTCCCTTTTTCGGTTATCCAACAGGACTCTCCACTTCGCCCTCTGAGACTGTGTTCAGGTTTCCCCACAAGAGTGAGAGGTGGGCCCTGCCTTTCTGTTCGTACCAGCCCGATGGCTTCACAGAGCAGAGGACAGTCTTTCCCAGAGGCCCACCCAGGCCTCCATCCTGGGGGCAGAAACTGCTTGTGACGTTAAATGAGTTTCTCGGGTTCCAGAAGTCTGAGAGTTCCGTCTCTGACCTGTTCACTCTGTTGGCCAGGGAATGTCTCTGCACCTACTGGCTCTCCTGAGTGACATGTGTGGGGCCTTGCACGGCCTTGCAGCCAGTGTGGTCAGGAAGGGCCGAGGGGGACAGCAGTCATACCAGGGGAGGTGGTATTTTTGTGTCAAGCAGTAGTAACTACTGGATCTCTGCTCCCTGCTTCCTACACACACACATGCTCACACACTCACGGGGGCTGGACGGATGGAGAAAGAGTCGGGGCAGCTCTTAAGCTCAAAGAGCACTTTGGCATCTGTCTCTCAGTGGCCGAGGTGCTAGGCTGGAGGGAAACATGGCCCCCTCCGCTGTATTCCTGGCCAACTTCAGTTGCTGAATGAATGTTCCTTATATACCTTCTATTTGTGTTCCAGGCAGAGAAAATTTGGAAGCACTTACATAAACATTTGCAAATTTCAAGGGAGTTCCCTTGAAACATTGCTGAGTTTTACAACTATGATCCTGAGAGGAGAAGGAGTTTTTGTTCGCAGCTAGACTGAAACACCAACCTGCAGGGAGGCCTGTAGGGGTCTTACCTCTGGTTTCTTTCTTTCTTTTTTTTTTTTTTTTAAAGAGTTTATGTTTTTTTCCTTTTTCTCCCCAAAGCCCCCCGGTACATAGTTGTATATTCTTCGTTGTGGGTCCTTCTAGTTGTGGTATGTGGGATGCTGCCTCAGCGTGGTTTGATGAGCAGTGCCATGTCCGCGCCTAGGATTTGAACCAACGAAACACTGGGCCACCTGCGGCGGAGCGCGTGAACTTAACCACTCAGCCATGGGGCCAGCCCCCTTACCTCTGGTTTCTAGCGGCCTAGAAGGAGTTCTCTCTCGGCCTACATAACCTCGTAGCCGAGGCCCATTCATGGCTCACTCATGATCCATTAGCGGGTCATGGCATTGGTGGTGACGACCAGCATTAAAAAGTAATAGTGACAAAGCAGATAGGGACACTTCAGTAGGCATCACATTTAGTAAGAAAAGTATCATTTCATTAAACTTTGCTTCAGTTACGTGTGTGCGCGTATACCAGATCACAATATAAAAATCTCTCTTACTGTGGGTCACGATCATGAATATTTAAAAGCCAGTGTCATAGATCAGTTTGATTCCTTACTTATTTTCAAAAAGCATGGGGTTGAAAGTAAAGGACAGGTCTCCATTTCACTTGTTGGTTATTCGTCTCCCAGTCAACTTATTTTCTTGGATCACCACCAAAAAGTGGCCTAGCCTTATTTATACCCTGTGTAAAGACCTGGTTAGATCAAAAGAAGCAAGACTGGGCATTTCAAAGAGCACCCGAGCAATTAGGAGCTAGAATCGACGTGCTCTGTGGTCGGCCTGAAGAGGCAGGATGCAGTGGTGTGTGCAGACCAGGCGGTAATGAGTGTGGGGCTCCCATAGTGAGGTTCCCTACAGGCCCACAGAGGGCTAGTGGTTATTTCCCTTAATCAGTTAATGACTAATAATGAGAAGGTCTTTGAATGACCCTCTTGGTTTCTCGCAGTGATATTTATTATTAAACCATTCAATAACATGAAAAAACCACAGCCGCCACCCAAGGGTAAATGATTACAGAGACTGTGATCATTTAGGATAAACTGTGGTATGTCGCCTCTATGCCTTGTTCCTAATATTAATTATATATAACTGCCTGTTCTGAAATGTTTCTAATTCTACTCCAAAATGCTTGTTGTTCTGGAATTCAAATGGCTACCATTATTGGCTACCTATTTTGTGTCAGATAGTCAAGGCCTAATTATCTAATTCTCCCATGTCGGCATTGTTATCCCCATTTTATAGATGTAGAAACTGAGATTTAGAGAATTAAGTGACTTGCCAAAGATCCAGAGCTAGTAAATGGCCAAACTGGAATTTGAATCCAGGTCTCTAACCTCCAGACCCAGAGTAAATTTCCTGCCTTCAGATAGCGATGTGACACTTTTCACCTCTGGGAACTTTTCTCTTCTGGAGCTAGTAGTTGAAGTTCAGAGGAAATGACTGAAAAAAGATTCCAAAAGAATTATACACCATGACCAAGTGGGATTTATTCCAGGAATGCAAGGCTGGTTCAACTTTTGAAAATCAATGTAATCTACCATATCAACAGACTAAAGGGAAAAATCCATATAATCATGCCAATTGGTGCAGAAAAAGCATTTAACAAAATCCAATACCCATTCAAGATAAAAACACTCAGCAAGTTAGAAATAGAGGGGATTGATCTGATAAAGAAGTATTTATAGGAAATCTCTAGCTAATCTCATACTTACTGGTGAAGAACTGAAAACTTTCCCCTAAAATCAGGAACAAGGTGATGATGTCCACTCT